CTGTGGAGCGGCCTGCTGGGCTGCGACTGCTGGCGCTGCAGCTGCCGCTGCTTCTCCCAGACGTAGTCCAGCAGAACCTCGTTGTAGGCCCCCCCTCGGACGCGGACCCCCCCCTCCGGGGCCGCGAGGTGGTTTCTGCCGCGCCGTTCCGTCAGCGACTCAGAGCTCCAGAACGACCCGGCCGCGTTCGTTCCCCTGGAAACAGTGGCTCCGTTAGGCCGCAGCGCCCCCTGCTGGGCCCCACCCTCGTCCTCCGGGGGGGTGCTGTGGGTCAGGAGGCTGTCAGAGCCGTTGCTCTGGCGCGACGCCCGACAGCCCGCCTCCCGCCCCGCGTCGGAGGAGGAGGAGGAGTCCTGGGAGCGGGGAGGGGGAGGGGGAGGCTGCGAGGGGGGCAGAGGAGGGGGCTTGTTGTTCTCACGGTGTTCAGTCCTGAAAGGTCAGAGGTCAGGTGGTGAGAAACTCTTCTGATTGGCAGGCACCAAACATAAAACTAACTGGGCAAACTGGTTTTTCCAGTCAGGAACACCCGAGCGGATCATGGAGGTCCGGCATACCTGCTGAGCACCGACGACTTCTTGGTTTTGTTCTGGTTGAAAACCTCCACAGGAGACCCAGCAGAAACCAGCAGGGGGCGACACTGAGACCCACCGTTGTCTGTCAACACAGAGACATCCACATCAGCACTGAATCCTGCCAGGACTTTACCAACCATCTGCCTGCTGAGATTTAGGCCACGCCTCTGTGGTTCTGAGATCCCAGCTGCCGGTTCTGGAAGCTGTCTGGGTCCGTCCCCATAGTGAGGATGTTGAGATGCTCGGTGATGTTGATGGTAGAACCAGCAACTAGCATGGCCGTTCTACTTCCACTGCAGAACATCAGAACCTGAGGTCATCCTGCTGGTCACCATGACGCATCGCAAAAGTCCTGGAGGGACCGGAGCTGACACAACGTGGACCACCAGACCAGGACGCGACAGGGCATCGGAGTTTGGTAGATGACTAACTGGTTAAACTGATTCTTGGAGGACCAGCATCCAGTGCATCTATTGTCACCTGTCAGGCAGTTCCTAAATTACCCTCATGGGGGCGCCACTAGTGACATCAACTGCTTCAGGCTGATCTGATTTCATCCTGACGTTTACAGAACATCAGATGCTGTCGGGACGTTTTGTTCTCCTGAAACCAGAAACCCTGCCTGTGTGTCTGTGTGTGTGTGTGTGTGAGTTACCGTTGTCGTTTCCTGCTGAGTCTGACGTGGAGCTGCTCTCTGATCTCAACGTATCCTCTGGAAAAACACAGAAACTGTGGTTCAGGATAAAGGCAGGAAGAGGCCTTCCTTCCAGAAACAATGGCGTGCGTGTGTGTGTGTGTGTGTGTGTGTGTTTTGATAGTTATGAGGACTTACTTTTGTCCACATGGTGTACAAACATACTGTATTTTCCTGACTATAAGCCGCAGATATCTCCAGGTTTTCCACAGCGATGCAGCAGCAGCAGAGGGGCGGACAGCCACCATCTGAGTTATAACAGGTCAATTGAATATCATTTATTACGGTTGAAAAAGAAAAAGTTGCCAAGTTTAGATTTAACTGAACTGATTATGAGTTTGAAGAGAAAAATCTCTTTTGTGTTGCTACTAGCATGAGCTAAATGAAAATGGCCGCTTTCTTCTTCTTCTTTAGATTCCAACGGCAGCTTGCATCCATTATTGTTGCACTACTGCCATCTATTGGATCCTAATATATATGCCTCAAATTCTCATAATGATCCCAGTATTATTTAAAAAACGAAAAATCTTCTTTTTCCCCTCAATGCTGTTTACTGATCAGCAACATTCTCAAAATTCAATTCCCTATTAAGACCTAATTCCGTTTTAATGGCGCTTTTTTCTTTTATTTCCAATTTTGACTGCCGATGATTCACTTCCTGCTAAAGAGCCCCCTGGTGGTTGAAGAAAAATCCACATATAAGCCACATGGTTCAAAGCTTAGGAAGAAAGTAGCGGCTTATAGTCCGGGAAATAGGGTATTTTGTGGGTTCGAGGTTACAGTGTGGAAATGAAGAGACGCTGCATGTTATTGCTTATATCCAGGATTTTAGCCCTGCAACAGGAAGCTGGGGGCGGGACCTGCTGTGTGACATCACACCGCAACGGGTCCATATAAGTGTGTGTTACCTGTGTGGCAACCCCGGTGCACCGTCCTCTTGCCGTGGTGTGTGTGAGTGTGTGTGCCATTCTCAGAGTCGCTGTGTTTCCTCAGCGCGGCGCTGAACAGCGTTTTTCTGGATTTGGACCGCTGGCCATCTTCTTCCTGCTTCACACAAACAGAACCAGGTCAGCCAACCAGCAGGGGGCGCTGCTTCATCAGAGCCAGACTACACCTCCAAACAGAACCCCAGCTGGTTTTACACTAGATCCACCTCTGGGTTCTGCTGGTTCTGGACCGGAACAACAGAACCTTAGCCTTCAGATGCATCAGAACCCGTCACTGCAGAACGAAACGGTTCAGTCCCACGGCCCGGTCAGAGGTTCTGTTATCGCCTGGTTCTGTCTTAACCTGATGAGAAACCCGGCTCACCTCCACTCGACATTTCCTGTTCCCCTGGCGGGTCGGAGCCGCTCGTCTGCGGATGCAGGGCGGCTTCTCGCCCGCCTCCAGAGGGAAGTCGCTGGGCACCGCACCTGTCAGCTCCTAACCAATCAGAGCACAGCACACACCTCAGTGCACAGCGGCCGGACCAATCAGGCTTCACTTCCTGCTGTGACATCACTCACCGCCTCCTGGAGGCAGATTCGCCTCAGCTCGGCCAATCTCGCGCTCAGTAGCACCTGCAGGCTCCGCCTCCTCTCCTGCAGCTCTGCCATTCGCTCTTTTTGCCTCCTGCTTGGACAGGTGAGGGGCTCTGCACACAGGACACAGGTGAGACAGGAAGCAGGAAGCAGGGGAGACGGACATATTTTACCAACTATTCTCTCTTACCAGGTGCTAAAATGAGTTGACCTTTGACCTCCATGGCATGCACTTCCCATGTGACTCCGCCCCCTCGTCACTCCGGTCCTGTCCACGGAGCCCGGCTCACCTGTGGCGTGCCACCAGGTGTTCCTCACCTGCTGAGCCACTTCATAGACCCTCCAGTGGTTCTCACCTGTAGCCATCCAACAGGTGAGACGCTCAGGCAGCTGCTGCGGCTCCCATGGCGGCCTGCAGGGGGTGTTCAACCTGAGAGCAAAACCACAGAAGAAGAAGAAATATCAGGAGTTATGACAGTTTTAGGGCAGAAAATCAGATTTTTCTCACTGAGATGTAACATCAACGCACAAAGAAAACTTCTTCCAGGTCAGAACCAAAACCAGAGCCAGAGAGGGTCCGGCCCGTCGGACCCAGTTCTGTTGCTGCAGCGCCTCCTGCTGGGCAGACAGATTCAGCTCCGGATTAACGGCGTTGAATCAAAACAAGTAAAACTCCAACATGAAGAGCAGATTCTGCTGCTGATCCCATCTGAAGTGGTCCAATGACCCGGCGGGCTGGTTCTCCTGCTGCTATGCCGGCCGCCTGGGAACAGGAAGCTGGCAGCAGAAAACAGGAAGAAGGAAACAAGCGGCAAAGAGACGGGAAGAGAGAGAGCGAGGGAGGAGTGAACAGCACTGGGAGTCACTGGACGGGTCAGAACCAGAACTTTCATCTGGCCCAAACGCTCCACAGCATGACCAGCCAGGACAGTTCTGGATTAACAGAACCAACAAAAAACTTTCTGTTTCCATCTCTGTTCCAGCACCGAGCTCGGTCCATTTGAGTCGGGTTCTGGTTGGGTTCTGTCACTGAGTCTCACCACTAAGCTGTTTTATTATTGTTGTTTTTCTTTTATTTGTTTGCTGCGCCCTGGGGGTCACGGCCTCTAAAGGTAAACTCCTAGTCCCGCCCTGCTGTGTCCTGATTGGCTGCTGCGCCAAACAGCATAAACATGACGGACTCTGCTGCCCCCTGCTGGCTGTGAAACAGAATTGTTCCGACTGAAGCTGCTTGGCTCTGACCAGAACCAAAAGGCCCAAACACGGTTCATATGTCACAGGCTGAGCTGAATGAGACTCACAACCACCTTGATTAGTTTGTTGGTTTTTTTCCCAGAAAATTCTTGATGACTTTTCCCTCACTTTTTTAAATTACTAACCTAATTTTATTAGGAAAATATCATATGCATAAATCTAAATTCTCAAATCAGAAACCTTGCTTTTCAGCCTTTAAATAGAAATTCAAACAATATATCAGAACTCTTCATTTAAAAAAAATAGAAAACCCATTGAGACAAAGGATATGTGCGCTCACTTTAACATTTTTCTGACTTAACTTTTTGTTTTGTTTCCTGTCTGTCCTCAGACGGAACAGCATTAATTTTGGTTTGATTTGGCATAAACAAAAGAAAAACTTGTGAAATGTGTTATTAAAACAATTAATTCAAACACCTTTTATATATATATATATATATATATATATATATATATATATATATATATATATATATATATATATATATATATAT